ACAGAAACACTTTCAACAGCTCAAAGTTGTTCACCTCGAGTCAGGGTTGAAAAAGTCACCAGCATTCATCCATAGTGAACTTTGATGAATTTTAGTGCTTTTTTTTCAGTCCTGCCTCGAGGAAATAAATAAACTTTTTTTTTAAGATCCTTGCTAATCTTCATGTAGCCGACCTCCGCTTGCAGACGATTGAACAGTTCGACCTCCACTTCGCAGTTTTTATCGTTGTTGTATTGTTCCATAGTCAACGCCATGGATGAAGAACCACATCCAGCTTTCCGGAATCCATCCGACGGAGTATAGCTAAGAAACCGACATGCACCAGGGCTACAATCAGTCTTCTTGGAACAAATTTGGTTTGGATTGCTTATTCTGGTGAAATTTCCGTGCTGCAGTGATTGTAGGCTGCATACCTAAATTTATTTTTATCACGCTTCGTTTTCATGCACAATTACAAAAGTCATTAAATCTTCAGGGTTGCCAAACTAATGGGATACTTGATTGACACGCTTCGGCACAGTAAAGACTATCGGCATAGATTGAGGTGTGCAGAGTTGATTCCCCCTTGATTAATATAGCATTTTCTCCCTACTCCACTAAGTATTGTTTACTTTTCCTGGAAATCGCAGGATACGTTTTTTTCCGCTTTGCTTCAAATCTGAAAATGGCTTTTTTCGTGTTTTTCAGCGTTTTCTTCAAAATGTTTGGTTGAAACTAGTTTATTCCTTTGCAAAAGATTTGTTTTTAGCGTGATAATGAAAATATCAAAATAGATTGTAAAAACAGTTTTTCATGTAATGTTTTATGATTTCTCGCGTCACTTTTCAAATAGACCAATGTAACAAATGTAAACAAATCGAGTTAAGCGATACAAACTATTGCTCTACTATCATTGTATGTGATAGAAAACATCCATCCAAATTTACTGCCTAACATGATTGGTGCTCATTTTCCAAAGGCGGGGCCAATCTAAAGTTAGGTACTATACTCTGAAATCTAGTATCATGTAGACAAAACGTCCAATGTAACAATGATTGATTATGTCATTGAGAAAAATCGTCCAATGTAACATGTCAGATGTACAACTCGACTTGTCAAAACGTCCTATGTGTTTTTTCTATGTTGTAGCATGAAATCCAAAGTAAAATTGTGATTTTTCCGGTTCTTCTGAATTTTCAACGTTATTATACACTGACTACATTAAAAATAGTATTGCAAAATGTATTGTTTTTAAACAGTTAAAATAATAATCTGTCGAACTTCAACTTCGATTTTCTCAAAATGGTGGATATGTTACATTGGTCTATTTGAAAAGTGACGCGAGATTTCCAAATAACTTAAAAAAGCAGACAGTGGATTGTTGACGTCCATAGATGAGTTGTTTGTTTTGTAAAGATGAAAAACTTTGAGTAAGATGTCAAGTCTCCAGAATGTCCCAGTAAAAAGTAAGATTTTGGCACCATCAGTGCGGTTGGGTATCAAACTGTCTGTTGCTGTCAATAGATGGTCCTAATCTGAGACGGCACTTGACAATTCGCCTTGACACCAGTCCCGAAGTGACGATTCTTCACTCCCATTTTGACAGTTCCTTATGAGGTTTTGCGTTGGAGTGAGAGAATAAGAAAAAGTGCGCCATGTTTCACACATAGACTGACAGTTACATATGAGATTTCTCCATAGGAGTAAAGAGTTACAGAGCTCTCGTCAACGTCAATTGGGTAGAGATTTTGAGCCAATTTGCTGTCAAATCCGAGCCAGTTGCTGGTTAGTCGATTGGACAGTAGCAATCGTGTAATAAGAAGAACAGAGGGATCACAGCAATCTTACTGGCAGTGATGCCGGAAGCAATGTTGACCTCAATTTGTTATTTGTTTATATTTGTGATAGTAAAGTTTAAAAATTTAGAACAATGTGTGTTTTAAGTGCTGGATACCATTGTTTGTTTATGGCCGTTTTTATTGTGTTGAACAGAAATGGTAGAAACAACGAATCAAATCAAAAAAAATTTAAAAAAAAATCTAAAATCCTGGCATAACTCCGTCAAACACCACGCACAAGTTTTCGAAGGGCATTCATCAAAAACATTAAGAAGAGTGAGAAGCTCGATTGTCAAGTCCCGTCCCAGGTCAAAATTGTTGTGAAAAACTTTGCTCAACACACCAACTCACGGAAATGCTTCGTTTCGGAGCAATTAATTTTGTTCTGCTAGATCGCATTCCTGTCCCATAGTGCATTGGCCACACCTGGGCATGTCCCCAGTGCTCACAGACGAAAATCCTATCGCAAGAAAATTCAGACGCGTTCGTGTACCTCGGCTCACTGGTGACCGCCGATAATGACACCAGCAGTGAAATCCAAAGACGCATTTTGGCAGGGAATCGTGCTTACTTTGGACTCCGAAGGACGCTCCGGGCAAATAAAATTCGCCGCACCACGAAGTTGACTATGCTCGAGGAGGATCAACTTGGTGTTTTTGAACGGAAGATGTTGCGTACCATCTACGGTGGAGTGCAGATGGAAGTCAGAAGTCAGAAGGTGAATGAACTGCGAATTGCACCAGCTGCTGGAATAATCGGGCCCTACTGTGGGCTTGGCACCGTTGGGTAAGAATGCCGGATGGCAGCTCGATGAAAATGGTTCCCGATAACGAACCGACTGGAACGAGGATCTACCAGGTGGAAGGCAATCTGCGAGCCTGGCGACGTGCACCCATGGATCGAGTTGAATGGAGACGACTTCTGTGGACAGCCTGACTGGTAAGGTAAGGTGTGAAAAATTCAGACACAGACCCACGTATCATTCACAAATCATCTTAATTCACTTTCCTGAATGCGGACTTGAGCTATTTTGTTGGAATTTAAATTAGTACACACTTAAAAATTTTCGCCGAGATTCCAACAGCGGAGTAATTCTGCAATTTATTCTGCTGAGATTCAGTCAAACAATTGTCGAGACTCAGCTAACAAATAACATTTTGCTGAGATATCAGCTAACAAACAGGTATTATGCACAGATATCAGCAAAAGTAAATGCCGAAGTAATCGGCTGTTGGAGATTTTGCCGAGCTAGATTATGTGTGTAAGAAGGGTCCGATCTCATCCTAGGTGGATAAATCCAGGATTTGTTTTTATTCTCATAGGAAGACTTCCCCAAACACTACGAAAACATAACTTATAATATTCCCACGTAAACCTAGAGCATCATGTTTAAAACTTAGTACATACTGATCTCAGCAAGTTTTTCACTGAGATCCAGCAAAATAAAATGCCGAGCTGCACAGTGGCACCCATCTCGGCAAAAAATCTAAGTGTGTAGTAGTCACATAGTCACTATGAACGGAGCTCCGATACCATGGTCACGCCAAATAAAATATTTTGGACTTTTTTTTTCATTTAGTTTATCTTTTTAGGCTCAAATGTGCAAAAGAACTCCACGGAGCCGAGAACCAGTAAATAATTTTATATGTTGAATAAACAATATTAATATCTTAAACTTGTTCTTGATCAAAAATCAACTTTCAAGAATCCTGATGGATGTGGGCGTCTTGTCTACTTTCAAGAATCAAATTGTAAAAAATCTCTATTACGTTGCCATGTAACAGTGGCTATAAATCAATGAAGACGCATGGTAGTCTAGTCGCATAGGAGTATTGAGCGGAAACCCAAAACTTGATAACTTCAAAACAATATAACTCATAAGCAAACAAAGAACACATCGCTGATTTGTTGATATGTTGTGCGAAAAAGCCAAAATTTTCCAGGTAAAATATTAAAACATATTGCGCCCTCTGTCTACAAACCATGAAAGTCATAAAAAAAAACAAATACAATCAATGTTTTTCATTACAAAATCCCAATTTTTATCATTATATTTTTTAAATAGAATAATTTTAATTACCTTTCATTTGATATTGTGATTTTTGAAATCGGCCCAGTGGTTAAACAGTTATATATTAAAAAAAAAAGTAATTCAAAAAACTGTTTTTTTGGACCACCCCAGTATGGAACTGGAGCCCTAATGACAAAATCAACAAATGAGTCAAATATTTTCCCATAAGGAACAAAAGTAATTTTTTTTCGAAATTCTGTGGACTGGCTGTATTTATTTAAAACGGTTGTACGCTCATATATACAGAAAAACCATGGTTGGAACTAATACCATATTCACAACGTTCAACTCGCCTATCTTTTGCAATGGTCGTACTATTAGCCATACAAAAATTCACATCATTATGCTACCCAAAATTAGCAACAACCGCTCCCTCAATCTCGACAGATTTTTCGATGCAACAAGTTGTACAAGTAATCATATCTTAGGAGCAGGCATGGAAAATCATTTACATTCATTTGCCTCTAACTTTTTTCATCAACAGCAATAAAATACATTCACTGAAAAAACAGTATTTATTTTGCGGAATTCTGTTGATGAAAAAAGTGAGAGGCAAATGAATGTAAATGAATGCATGAAATGAATGCAAATAATTTTCATGCCTGCGTAGGAGTATTGAACTACGAATTTGATTTTCGGGAAAAGTAGTCAATTTTATTTCCATCGTAACTCTAACTAGCAGCACTTCTCGCCAACAATTGGAAAATACCCCATTACGTATCTGAACACCACTACCACCAAAGTGCCAGCAAGTGGTGAAGATAACATCATGAGTGGACAGGGGGAAAAAGTACCATCACCTACCAACCAACTGCTGCTCACTTGAGCTCCTGCTCCATCAATTGATCCACCCATGGTGAAAAACAACCAGTTCGGGAAAAAAATATGACAGCCTCCCACCTAATCCACCGCTAGCTCAAGAGGAGGAAATACTGGGAAATTTTGCAAATAGAGAAGCCACACACAGAGCGGATTAGGAAATGGATCCATCTTTGCCGTCGCCATTAGCGTGGGTGGATGATCTGAAAGATGGGTTTCATCTGTTTGCCTGGTGGCCGTGGGCAAATGGCTGGAAAACTACTGTAGAGCTAATTAAATGCAGCTATACTTACCCGAATCTATTTGACGCAGTTTTCGATCTTCTATCTATCTGTCGAGCGGGTTTGTGTGGGTGTGTGAGTTGTCCCTAGTCTAGCTAGTGGACTTAGCAGGAATCCATTAATCCCATCATCTTCGCTGGCAACTTGCACTCTTCCAGCCAACCACTGGCACTTACCCTAGGGGGACGGCCCCCACCCGTCAAATTCACTTTCTTCACTCAACTCCCTTTTGGGTGTCGTTTTCGTTTTCGATTGGAAACTTAAAAAAGAACTACACTGGTAAGAGAACTGAAAAACCAAAAAATGGAGAAAAATTTTCCAGGTGAAACCAGAGACAATATGTTTGTCCCGCTGCTTTTCACTTCACCTTTCTGGAAGAAAAATCTGCTCAAGACTGAACCTCTGCCTCGGAGGAGGACCTCCGCGAAATGAATAGATAAGCAAACTGCGAGAAGCGGACTGAGAGAAGAGCTCTACCGAATCGATCCGAGGAGAGATAAAACACTCATGGAGCTGCCTGGTACTTTTCCACCCACTACGTATCACAGATGTGAGGGGCAAAATGTCTTCAAGTATCTTTTATAGGAAGTCCTTCCAATAATAGTGCTCTACAATGTCACACACTCACTACGCAGAAAGTCCCGTCGTCGTCGTCAACCCGTTCGTCTGCACCGTTCCGGTTCCAGGTAGCGATTGTGGAGACCTTCCTGCAAAATGCTGCTCCACAGCTCGAGGGGCGCCACTTCAGATACAGCGCCCGATGGCTATGACGTAGGTACGGTGGTACCTAACTGCAACTTCGGAGTCGCGAAATGAAAAGCTGAATGAAATTAATGTGCTACACAGCAGCGAGGCGAGAATCGTCGTCGGCCTTTGCCAAGGTTTGTGCGTGGGCGCTTGCTTGCTCCTGCGATGCTTCGGAACACTCTGTTGCGCTTTTTTCTCCGGATCCCGCACCATTCATCTTCCCCGGATATCACGAAGTTGCCTCGCTCTTTCTCTCTTGCTGTGGCCTCGCACGTACGGAAGCATGCCATAGGTTCGATCGATAGAGCTTCATTTGAACGCGTAATTACTCTTTCCAGTGCTCTCTGCACGCATGCGTTTTCCTTGCTGGTATGATGAAGCATCTATGTCGTCCCGTATGGACGGTTTCATTCAGCCTACACTATTTCAGGAGGTAACATAGGCGGTGCTAGGAACATTAATATTCTTTCAACAGTTTCCTCGGATGCCCATGGTCTGCCTTCCTTTACTGCGATATCTTATCGCGTTTCGATGCAGCACATGCTTTGAGTACTGAGACAACTTCACACAGCCTGTAACGTGTCTGAAGTAGGACCACAGACAGTGCTTGAATTACAAGTGGACATTATTGGGCAAGGATGCCAAAGAAAATGGTTATCTCGAATTTCAAAAAAGATAGGGGTTCCCGGGGAAAAATACACCAGTTAAGGAACTCAAATTAAGGAAATTAAAAGCAACAGTGAATATCATGTATTGCATAAGTTCTCTTAAGCATTATTTAGTTGTTTACATTCGCGACATAGGTACATGAAAACACTGAAAAAATACCTTAAAAAGTGATTTTAGGATATGATAAAATATTCTGAAAATGTCACTAATCGAGGCAAAATGCACTACAGCAAAGGGGCAAAACGCACCATAATAGGGGGCATTATGACAAATTGATGCAGAAGAACGTCTTCGTTTTTGACTGCCTCCAGTTCCGATCGTACTTGTTCTAAGGTCCATGACCGCTTAGTAGACTCCGGAACGTTGCGGACAATTTATGAAGAAGAATTGATCGTAAACAAGCTTGTTCACTAAAGGATCATTTTGCCCCACACTTAGGAGTGCATTTTCCCCCAAATGCATGAAGAAAATGTTTTTGATCATAAAATAGAAATACATATTAAAACTTATCGGTATTTCATCTGAAGGTGGGGTGAAAAGTAACCTCTTTGGGATTGATTTTTTTTTTTTTTTTATTTTATTCAATATAGTCCAATTTTAGCTCGATACACTTATTCCAGCGATTTTCCAACTTCGTGATCCCGCCCGAAAAGTAATTTTCCGTAAATATAGTAAATGTAGTATGTAGATGATGCCTGTTTGCCATTTTTCTCAAACATTTTGAACGAACATTCAATTTATGTGAATTAAAACACTCATAAACCAAGATTATAGGAATGCAGATTTAACCCTCCGGTACTCCCACTGTTGCACTTTGCAAGTGATCTGAATGCTGTGTTTCTTATATCATTTATCGCTAAAGTTGTGGGGCACGATGTTTAATCATTATTTTTGAACACGGAATCTGTGAGAAACGCAAGAACACAAATTCGCCTACAAATGCAACATGATTTAAAAAAGTCGTACAAGCCACATATAAATTTAGCACTGGGACTCTAAGCTGCTACCTAAAGGGTGATACGGTCAAAATTTGGTCAAGGGAAAACGCGTGTAAATCGGTGAAATCGTTAATTTAAAAAATCAAATTAAATTTCTTTTTCAAGTTCAATTAGTATAAAATTCAGGAAAAATATTCAGTTAGGCTTCCGCTTTTCCAAATCCGAATTGCCGGGCCTTACGCTTGACCCCTGCCATCAGATTTTGTACAGCCACCTTGTCCACCTTCTTCGCCGCAGAAAGCCAGTTTGCCTTGAAGTGCTGCTCGCCCTTAGCAGTTTTTTTGGTCTTCTTTAGGTTCCGCTTGACAATAGCCCAGTATTTCTCAATTGGGCGGAGCTCTGGCGTGTTGGGAGGGTTCTTGTCCTTGGGAACCACCTGCACGTTGTTGGCGGCGTACCACTCCATGGCCTTTTTACCGTAATGGCAAGATGCCAAATCCGGCCAAAACAGTACGGAACAACCGTGTTTCTTCAGGAAAGGCAGCAGACGTTTATTCAAACACTCTTTCACGTAAATTTCTTGGTTGACAGTCCCGGAAGCTATGAAAATGCTGCTTTTCAAGCCACAGGTACAGATGGCTTGCCAAACCAGATGTTTCTTTGCGAACTTTGACAGTGTCATGTGCTTGAAAACATCTGCTACCTTTCCCCTTCCTTTTGCCGTATAAAACTCCTGTCGCGGAAGCAGCTTGTAGTCGGCTTTGACGTAGGTTTCGTCGTCCATTACCACGCAGTCAAACTTCGTCAGCATCGTCGTGTACAGCCTCCGGGATCGCGCTTTGACCGTCGTATTTTGTTTATCATCGCGATTTGGAGTCACTACCTTCTTGTAAGTCGATAGTCCGGCTCGTTTTTTGGCTCGATGCACGGTTGTAGACGATACACCCAGCTTATTTGCGGCATCTCGGAGAGAGAGGTTAGGGTTTCGCTTGAAACTACCGGCAACTCTCTTTGTCGTCTCAGCGGCTTCCGGTTTTCGATTTCCCCCCGATCCAGACTTCTTGGCTGTCGACAAACGTTCCCCAAACACTTTAATTACATTTGTAACGGTTGATTTGGCAACTTTTAGCGATTTTGCCAACTTTGCGTGCGAGTAGCTCGGATTTTCGCGATGCGCGAGCAAAATTTTGATACGCTGCTCTTCTTGCTTGGACGGCATTTTGACAACTGAAGAGTGAATTCCAAAATCAAAATAGGAGCAACATTCTACACACACACACCTTCAAAATGAGGTGTGTTCATGTTTTTTAAATGCAAAATTGAAAGAAATACGTCAAGTTGATATTGACCAAATTTTGACCGTATCACCCTTTAACATATTACCATCCAAAGCTCTTCCAAAAATCAAACGCCTAGCCATTGCAGTGTCAGGTGAAGGCATTCGTAAATTATTGGTTATTTCACCTATCCAAAATTCAACAGGGGCAGAACAAGCAGTTGCAGTGCACAACGCAGTCATCGAATGGGGTCTTGCCAACCGGGGGATGTAAGATTTGTTTACAATTATGTGGGATGGTATAGGCGAAAGCGTAGACAGAACACAAAATAAAAATGATAAAAAATCATTGCATCGTCTGTATGGTCAACTTATACTATTCTTAGCTGTATTCGCTGCTGAGGATGATAAGAAATGCAACTAATATTGATTGTAATAAATTTTTGATTGACGTGTGGGGCTCCCTTGTAGACATCACATACATGAACTATTGGTTGCCAACGCTGTCAAAATTCTAAAATTTGAAACGTCACAGTCTCCTAAGTAATTTCAAACTAAATGGCACATTTTGGAAAAGAGTTCATACCACTCAGGAATGCATACTGATTTTTTTTTTTCAAACAGCGATTACAGAAACGGAAAAGTAGACTTTATTAATCTTTTTTGAAAAACAAAACATTGAGCTAAACTACCTTGAGGAGTACCGAGAAGTTTTACAGTTAGCGATTTTATGTTTGGGTGCAAAGATGGATAACAAATTAAAAATAAGAGCTCCTCCTGGTGTTCTCCACAATGCGAGGTGGATGGCTAAAATAATGTATTCGCATTGCCATGGCGCCGAACAACGACTTAAATTTGTTGAAAATGTTGAAGGATTATGAAACTATCAATGAAGAAGTTTCGAAAGCAGAACATGAAGAAATTTTGACTCATTTGCAGTGCCTGGACAACAGCTTTATCGGGCTGTAAATTTAGGCCTCCTGGTTAAGAAAAAGGCATTTGAAGCCATAGTTGCAACAGGTTTAATGCATGAATTTGAATTCAGTTTTATAACGATATTTTTTACAGAAATCCAGAAATACGTTCCAGCAAAATCCATCTGGAATCGATAGATATTTCAACAATTGAATTACACTCGTTTGTACAAGGCAAAAATGGTATTCAAAATTTGTTCAAAATTCTTCAAATTCCAGAGTCCTTGCTGGATATCAATGTGGAGCAGTGGATTAATTCAATCGAGTTTCAAAACGCCAAGCGACGGATTCAATGTTTGGAAGTACAGCAAGAATTGGATAACTTGGCAGTCTTTAACTGCCCAAGTAATAATTTTGGTTTCATGAGGGTTCTGTAGACCATGATTTCGATCATCGTACACACGATCGTCCATCCATAGTTTGATCTCTTCATCAGAAGTTGTGGTTCCAGCTAGAACATCTATGGCCGTTATACGCAAGGGCCTTACACGCCGCCAGCCAGCATAAAAACGTGATCACATATCAATCCAAGCGGGTCCAGAGCGTAGACCCGCACCTATTCCCGCTACGACTACTTTTTATTAGTAGCGTTAGGCGTGCCACCTCCTTGGTTATAAGAGCTTTTAAGTCATCGCAAATATCGACTCACCGGGATCAACTGAATTCCATCCTGAATGCGGAACCAATGAAATCGTAGATGAGCTGATCTCATACCACGTGGTTGTAGAGAAATATTTTTGAGTCGATCCTCGAACTTCGATCTTTGAGATCTTTTTGTTCTAGAACCAACTTGAGCATGAGCCTTCATTTGTATCGCATTCTTACAGCGTAAATCACCACCTGGTCCATAGGTTGGCACTCTGAAGTGACGCTTGGTGGTAAATAAATTACCGAAGGGACATTCAAAGTGCCGTTGTTTTACAAATTTACAAATTAAGCCATCATCCGACACCAAATCTTCTCCTCCATCGTAATGTGCGGTGCAATTATCCAACACCAGCAACGCTTTAGGTTGTAAGGTAAACTTCTTAGAAAATTTCCTCACCGCTGGTACGAAGTCGTTGTCGAACCAGGTTCTGCATAAATCACGCGTCATCCAAGCTTTCTTCGAGTTGTGGTACGAAACTGGCTGAAGTTTTCTAGCCGGAAGTGAGCATGGTTTGGCGGCGGTTCCCATGAACATTAGTTTTAATTTGTTGAAGCCATCGATATTGCTGGCAATTCCTCGCGATAATACTTCACTTTGTGAGCGTTTTCTGCTTCCGCTTCAGCGTGGATCTAGACGCGGTATCTAATGTAGAATAA